TAGTTGGACCCATAAAGTAAACCTTGAAAGCACTGTGGATAGAAATAACAGATATATAAAGCCAAATAATTTTTAAAATACTCAATTAAGTTTTTAACCATCTACAATAGTTGGTCTGTGACTGAAAGTTTTCCCGAATTTGTGCAAATACATTTCAGAATTAAATAAACCCATAACCTCGCCTAAAGTAAGGAAAAAATATATTATTGATCTCCAAATTTTACCGTGAAATGCAAATTTCCACCTATCTGTTTAATGGAAAGTTGATTATTACATTCAAAAGCCTTTTAGCACTTCAGATGACCATGAGGACTGAGGTTAAAAAATATGAAGGAAAAATCCGTCAACTGATGTTGATCAGAGGTGCAGGCATCGTTGAAGGGTTGTGCGATTGAAAACTGTGTATTTTCAACGACCTATCGTACTAAGAAAATCATCATACCAAATTTGATGACTTTCGGAAGCACACACTGTACCACGTAATTGTATCTGGCGTTTGATTGATCAGTGATGCCGTTTGGGTCTGCCAAACCCCCACACTCAACAGTTAAATCACCCTCTGTCATTAGAGCTCAAAGCCTGTCGTGGCTCCTATTAAACGTGAGTAAATACATTGCGAAGCCAGAGCTCTCGATGATTAGTCAGCACGATAAACTCCCTAATTATTGTTAAGTGCATGTGTGGCTACGAAAAAGGGTGGAGTAAATTGTGTAATTTCTTACAAAGTTACATAGTTGTGTGACTTTTTTTTAATATTATTGATTTAATTACTGTTAAAATGCACATCTGGCTCACCTGAATGCTCAAATTGAACTAGGTATGAGCGGTGATCTAATTTTTTAATCTTGCCGATCTTGCCATTTAAGCACGCACACATCTAGTCTCGCAAATAGTGCAGAAAGAACGCCAATTCGAGAGCAAAATTTTTTTGCAGTGAAATTTTATATTCGGTAATAAAATTGTTAGTCCCGAAACTACTGACAAACATTTCTGAAACCCTTCAGAATTTGCGTTGCTGCTTTGGTTATTTGTTGTGATTTTCTAAAGCCTTTCGAGTGAGTTCGTGTGCTTCCTAGTTGTGCGTGACGCACATTTGCCGCATGATTGGCTGCTGTAACGTCGTTGACGAAAACCTATTACATGGTGGAGTCATTAGGTGAGCCGTTTTCCAGCTTCTACTGGTCAAATTCGAAAAAATCAGAGTTGGGGGTTTGTGTGAATTAATACACCCATGGTGCTGATTGAGAATTGCATGTTGGAGTGAGTCATAGCCAAAATTGAGGAACAAACAGGTGTCACGTGTGTCACCAGAAACGGATGGCGCGTGCTTGGGGAAGCGGAGGTGGTGCATTAAAAAACTCTGGGGGCAGTCAATAAATCAAAATTTAAAGCGTTTGAAGCTTCTTAAACCATGCGTCTGATTTTTGGATTTACCAGATGAACTGGGATGATTTTATTTTGTAGAAATGTTTCTGGATTTGAGACCCCTTTCTGATTCGCAAACACAATTTACAGTCTAATTCTTAAGCTAGAGTCTATGGACTCTAGTGAGATTAATTTGCGAATTGCTTCAACTGTTTGTTTTACGAAGGATTAGTTACACAAAATTCATTGCTGAAAAATTCTGCATAGACGCTATGTAAGGCTCTAAGCCGTCCAGTTCAAACCTATGTGGAAGATTATCTCCATACGATTAGCACAAAATTTCAACTTCTCATACATCTTTTTAACTTTCAACGCCCCTGCCGTATAGCCTCATCGCGGTTGGCTAATTCCCTGATACCACGACTATTCAAACGCATGACCCAAGCATACTTGCCAGAATGGAAACACGACACACCTAAAATGTCAACGACGACTCAGAAGTCTTCCCCAAAAAATAGTGAAACGCCACACCAATGGACATGAAACTAGCATTCTAAATGCTTACTACCAATGTTGAACCTTATTAATATCTGAAAATGAACTCAACTTTTTCCTTCAACATTGTTACTCTCATGCAGCACCAAGAAATATGAAAATTCATATTAACATCATCTTCTGATGGGCGGCCTTAAAGTGAATCTAGAAAAGCTAATAGAGAAGGTGAGTAGTTTTCCTGGTGTCTCAACGCCCCAGGAAACGTGATAGGTGTTTTCTTCCAAAAATTTTCCGCTTTTTGTCTCCTAGTGTCAATTGGATTTCAAATAATGAGAACATACCTACAACTGTGGCGTTTGATGTGCCTTTTTAGTTTGGCTAATCAGTTGAGCAAAACTAATAACTTTTGCTTTTAATTTTACGCAATTTTTGTTCATTTGATTCATTTTGAAGGCTTCTTTGAAATCGGGTATTATTCACCGGAGTTGTACTGATAAAATTGACTATTAAGATCCGCCATCTCAATAAACCAGTGACATCGTAGACAGTTTTTTCTCTGGAAACCAAGTCACTCTGCATAAATACCTTTCAAAAACGAATGGCCATTTCTTAGACACAGGTTACCTGACCTTTATGTTAGCGTTCGTAATTATTTAAAACACTAGGCAAGTTCCTGAGCATTTATTGAGGGATATTCTCATTGACGAAATAAAGTGTGATGCATGGAGGTGAATAGATTCTCATGGGTCGCAGTACGTGGGACGGTTTCGGCTCGTAATTTCTTGGCGTCATTTCGAAAATGCACTAAAGGTCACGAACCTGCCTAAGCCGTGGATTCCCATTTCATCGAAACGAGTCTTTGAGTAGCTCATTAAGCCGCGCAATAAAGGGACAGCGCATTAGTGTGAATTTTTCCTGCTTAATGCTCTCTCACACTCGGGAAGAATGCTTCTCAGGAGTTTTGTGTCTTTAGGGCCTTTTAAGCCTGCATGAGAAGATGTTGCTGGTTCTTAGCGTGATGGTTTGCGCAGCAGCCTGAAGGTACAACACAGTTTGAAATTGGGGTGGTTTAACATTAGTGTTAGATTACAAAAACACTTACAACTTAGGCACCACATGAGGCCGATGGGTACACACCGCCTAGGAAGTTAAAGATTTGTAGGTTCGACTTTATTTAGCTTTAAAGTTGAGAAAATTTTTGATTTTAAACTTATCATTTTATTGCTTTATCCACGTGTTATTTCTTAAAGAAAAGCGGTGCGAAGCCAAGCACACGAAGAGCTTTTATTCTTGTACAGGATTGGCTACATCGCCATGCAACCTAACTCTCTTCTTTTCTCCAAACCAATCCATTGGATTTTAAGCAGATTACGCAAACCCATTGAGTGCTTTTAGTTGTTCACATGTTCGTATCTTTCAAGTCATTGTTATTAGCACTCAAAGTGTTGGAAGTAAGACCTTAAACACACCAGACAGTCTGGATAAGCTATCAAATGATCCATAGTCCCCCTTGATCAGCTAATAAATAGAGTTGATCATTCACTTGAGAGTTCAAGATTACTACTAACACCGTGCATTCTCTGATATTTGAAATGGTTGTATAGTCAGAGTTTATTTCAACTGGTAACATTGGACCATGTAATGCACTTTTATCAGTGGGTCTGTCGATACTAAAAATCGAGGAATTTGGATTTGATTAGCAAGGATAAATGTTTATTCATGTGTTGCTAGGCATGTGAGTGGATTTGAGGTATACGGTTACTTCAAAAAATCTGGTTAAAATAAACTACATTACATAACTGCGAAAAACAAATTTTCTTGCGCGAAACCCATCTGCTTGAAATCAGACAATTACAGATGTTTTCCCACTTTCATTGTTAGAAAAAAAGGTATCCTGAGAAGAAATCCCGGTAACAGGTGTCGTTTCCTTGCAGTTTACTAAAATTGTTAAATAGCTTATCGTCTGGTTTCATATTAAGGTATCATTTTTTCAAATATTTTAAAGTATTTAACCGTTGTTTTTGAGTGCACACTACAAACTTCCAACCACGAAACGCGGAAATCGATAGTACTGACATCGTCGTGTTATCCCGCGTCTAGCACCTCTGTCTAATCATGTTTTGATTCATCGATAATTTGTTCATTTAACGATCCGTCTGTTTGTTCCGTCACTCTGTTCTCGGAGTCCGTCAAAAAAATATCCGTGTGCCTATCCCTACTATTCACCACTTAGTGTCATACAATATCGGCTAACACGATAAACGAATTTATTAAAGCCCCCTGTTTATTAGTTCTCGCTAACTCTCGATTAGAAGCCACCCTTCCTGTTCATATCTGCGAAATGCAGGTAGCCTCGAACGTGTACACAAGAAACGCAAATGGGTTGGCAACGAAAAAACGATCGAATCTCCATCCATCGTAGTTGGGCCTCAGCAAATTCGGCATCTCAGATGTGGCGCTGTCGGGACCAACACAGCACTATCAGGATCACTTCATGAAAATATACAAAATTGTTTATCCTTCATTGATGTGTTCTGTCCTATATACTCTGTAAATTTGTCTTCACAACTCCATTTTATTTAACAGATGACATCTTGAAAAAATGTACTTCCGTCATATATGCAGTTAATATATTTCGATTAGACGAAAACTCGTGGCAGAATGTTTCTTGGTCTGGCTTTCAATTGTCTTCTTTTCTGTTTAACCGAAATTCAAGACATTAAAACAAACAGAAAAATCATTGATATTACCTGGATGCCTTAATCTAAGCCACATATCATGTGTGTGATTCGCTTAAACGGCAAGCTACAATAATTTGCGAGATAATTCCAGCACACTGTTGACTCAAATTTAATAACGCTAATTAAATCATAGTAATTAACGGTTGATTTTTTCCATTAATTTACGCACAAAACCACTGACTCACGTGCCTTGATCCACTTTTTAAACGTAACCGCGATCAATAAGTAAATATTCTGCATAGTACTTCCAGTATGGACCACGAGGTGGTGTTTTACCGACTTTCAGATGAAATCAGAGAACGAGATGTTCAGCATGTTGAAACTTCAAGTGTACATAACGCAAATATTATGGAGCAGTCAATTTGGAGGCGCACAAAATTTGTCATTCACGCACTATTTATGTACGTTTTCGCATGGTTAAATCGTATTTTGAAAATTTTGGGAATAAAGGTATTTCTCCAGCCAAGTGTAAAAGCCGGCACTGCAGCGACAAAATTCGTACGCGTCTTTTTCACTCCATGTCACAAGGAGAAATTGCACGACTTCTCTCAGAGGCCTGCTCCCCTTCTTCGAAGCATCTTACACAAGTCGGCACTGGCAGCCACCCTAAGTCAACCTCTGCGCGCGATCAGGGCTACCACAGCAAGCACGGCTGCAATCTTTTTGCAGATAAACGATGCAATGCATCTTGTTGTCCATTCGATCGGTGCTGTGGCAGGTATCTTTGAGGGCATTTTTCTCAGTGTTCGAGTGTGCACAAGCAATGTGACAGTCATGCTGTCACTCATCAGCTTAATCGTCAAAGTTCTTGCCATGGTTCAGAATTTCTTCTCAGTTCTCATATTCGCCCTTTCATACATCAGCACCGGTCTTGCGAAACTGAAACAGCCACAAGCATGAAAATGCAACCGCGTATTGTCAATAAAGGTAATCGTTTTTTCCATGTGCTTAATTTATGACTCTATAAGCAAATTTGTCTCTTGATCTTGCATTTTAAGTAACAATCATGTCCCATACCACAAACCAGGAATCATCATCCCTTAGTGCATTTTATTATTCAAAAATTTCCTTATTTGCGGACAGTTACAACACGCATTATTGAAAGTTCATCTCTATTTGTGTGATTAGAAGACGCATAATGACTGATTTTTCAAGTAACCGAACATTGGCGTAACACCATCTTTGGAAAGATCCTTAAAGTTTTCAACTTTGATAGAAATTCGTCGTAAATGGAGCCGTTTTTACACATCAATTTTTATTCGAATCTGTGCTGTGTCTGAAAACCAGGTTGCTTACTTCTCAAGAGTAATTGCAATTTTACCAAAGCCTAACTTTCGGCAAGCTTTGGATATCCCACCCTGGAGTTGCCTGTGTTCAGGTAAATTACTCAAGACAGGTAAATAACTGTTCTCAATGGTACATTCAAGCCAAGCAAGTACTACTTCGGTCACTAGTATGACGCGGAAAGGACTTGTACAAGGAAATTTCTGTGCGCAGACCGATGATTTGAATGGCGTAGAGCTAGCAAAGTTGGTTCAAAGTCTTATTAGTCACGGAGCTTATAACGCGCCAGAAATTAAACGCAGGCCTTCAAAACTGGATTTTAATAAAGTATTAATCGCACACTCAGGAACACCTTGTAATATTGAATCTACATAATTGTCATTTTGGTTATCCGGATATTTCTCCAAGCAAATTACAAAGGAGGGAGTTAGACAGAATAAAAATTCCCATTGTCACCAGCTTTACCAACAGCTACATTTAATCTTAATAATTAAGCGCCCAAATTTATCACTAAAGAACTTAATTTAGTTAAAAACAACTTAAATAGTTTTCAGAGCTTCCAGACAAACGTCAAAAGCAAACTTACCTACCAATGTCTTACGTCAGCAAAATCTGGACTTCCGGGAAAAGAAATATGAATTTGATACAGTCCCGTTACGCGGCTGTTTAGGTACTCCATTTGTTCCAGTTGTACAAACTGACTTTTGCTCGGCCCCACAGAGACAACTAACTCCTGGTAGTTAATTACTGTTGTCATAACTTGCACATGTCTTGTCATGCTTCACAACAGCATTAAACAATTGTAACATGTAGACTGCAAAGTAAACTCTATAATTAGACCACATTGCGTATCATCGAATTAATAATCCAAAAAAGCGTAACTATACAACTTAGTCACAATCTTAGGCATACACCATTTTAAACATTGCAGTGTTGCATGCCAGTGATTGTGCATAAATCTACACCACAGCCATTTCGTAACTCCCACGAGTTTCGTCTTTGATGATGATTAGAAATAATTAAACTCACACGCAGTCAGAAGTTGTTAACATGAGATTCGTGACTATTGTAATAGGATCCATTTGGGTGGAATCTTGTAAATCCAATTGAGTTCATGTTTGCTTGGGGCCTTAATTAACTACAAAGAATTCCTGTCTCGATTGACCAAAGAAATTGAAATCATTCGCGAACTGATGTCACAGTGACTAATTTTGCAAGGATAATATTGCTGCATATAAATCGGCCTTTTGGGATTTGATAATCAGCTTAAAAAATTAAAATAGTCCCTTTGGGGTCCTCATCAGATTATCTCTCTTTGAATATTAGGATTGCCAGCGGATTTCTAAATAGCGTTCTTTAACATTCTAGCTACTTTGTGCAGTAAAATAGCTACAAGCAATTTAAGTGTTTATATGTGTCATCTGCAATTTTTAAATATCTTTTTTTGCATCCAGAATCTTGTATAGAATGCAAATCATTCTTTGTACACTACCTAAACCAGTTGAGTCAATATTAATCATAAAATGAAAATTATGGCGGGATTAAAGCTGGACATCAAGCTTGATAGCCAATGGTATGTTATAGTTGTCATGATTTCCTTATTTAAACCATTGTTTTTCAAAGCCAGGTAGCCGTCTAAGCGACAATTCCAATTTGTCGACTCACAGGAAGATGGCAGTGCAGCATCACTTCGCCATATTTCCCCCTTCTATACGTGTTTATTTAGTGTTAAAAGGGATAACTAAATTTAGCTTCGTTTAAATACTTATTAAAAGGTCTCTTAAAGTATGGTGATTTCAAATAATCTAACCCGGTGTAATTGCTTAAGTAATGAGCTAGAAACCTTCGAACTATTCGTTAACTTTATTAGACCAGCTCTAATTTATTAGATATTGAGCGGACCAAAACCAGTACTCACGAGTACTGCAGATGCTGTCAGAATCAAATTGCTAACACGAAGCGGGCCATTTAGCCTTCAGCCCAGCAACTTGTTCACTGTAAGCATTCTACAAAAATGTTGGCAACAGACGTCAAATAATGTGGATATTCGAAATTGAATGTAAAATTATAAAAGCGAAAATTGGAAACATTAATATATAACGTCTTCTCCGTTAACTGCATTCTTTGAATAAGGTAACCGTGAGTGAAATTTAGGACTAAGTGGCGTCGATTTCGCCTATATTGTCAAATTAAGGCCACTGCATTTTGATCATCATTACAAAAAGCTTTTTAAGGGGTAAAAATATGAACTGGGAAAAGGACGGCAAAGCATACCTTTAGGCTAAGAATCTCTTCATCAAAACACATTTTTAATGCCTGATTTATATGTTATTTGGAAATTTTGCGTGGTAATCTAACAGGAAACTGAAAAATTGAACCCTTCTAGGGACGTGATTAATGCTTTTAAGCATTGGGTTAATCTCTTGATTTATTGTCAGAATTCTGTGTTAAGGACTTTAAAGAAATCGTAAATTTTGAATATGAGGTTTTGGTGGTTTCAATATGCTTCATAAACCGCAATCCTCCAAATAATATTTTAAACCAATCACCATACAGAAGTGGCATTTGTTGGTGTTTCCATGTTGTAGATATTTTTTCTGCCTCTCCTTTGTTAGTAATGCTTTATGACCTTCAAACAGCTCCTTAAAATATTGTTTATTTTGTTTCTAGTAGCTTTTGATGCACTATTTATTAACACGAGCTGCTCTTAGTTAATTATCGTGGCATCACTTTTTCCTTACTTCAAATGTGAAGTGCATTTGTCCACGTCTTATACTCGCATAGATTAATTGATTTTTGTAACACTATTACTGAATAAGGCCAATTGAATGTCCCAGGCTTCTTTTACACCCTCTGTAATATGTGTTGCAGTTTATTCGCAATAGAAGCAATCCCCTATCTTTTTGCAAACTGGTATGCAAGGTCATTTTGTTTCTGAAACTTTGTGTTTGGCAAACGGTTTACAGACTTATGCGTTCATTAGCGGGACTGGGTTTTACCAATGCAATATATTTACGACTGATCTCTAGATCTTGTAAGCTGTTTCCCGACAACGCCCGCTACATTTTTATCCGGTTCAATCGAGGTGGTGTCTTGTATTTAATTTATCACACGTGGATTTTATTTTTGCACAATCTTTGTTTTAAGACGGATTTCATTCCTTTTTTGCAAGCACCTATTTAAAGCCATATTATTAATTCTCTAATACATTACTTTTTCACATTGGAATCTAGGTCTGAGTGCTGTAGGTTATACTGTTGGCTACTATGGATGATTCGTCAATCCTCGCAACCTACTTGATTCAATACATTGGTTGTATTCCTGTTACCGTTTCTATTAGATCCCTTGATTTTTTCCAGAGAACACAAGTTGCCAGGTGCGTTTATTAGCTATCCTAGCATTTCACTTTACCACTTTTTCGTGTCCCTTATTTGCTTTAAAATTGATATTAGGGATTGCGAAAAGTTTTGGTTGAAATCTTTTTTTCAAAGTGTATATTAGACCAAAATTGAGTGTTTATCGTTCATAACATTCTAGTCATTTAATGTAATGTGTAAATGTTCCATGTATTTTAAGCGTGTATTGTTGGTTTCCTTACGACATAAAATCACAATCAACAGTGGTCATTTTAGTCCGACGATTTATTCGCTGGCGCTTAAGAGTATGTCCTAAAAATACCACGTATTTTGTATATAATCCTGGTGACTTGAACCGTTCTCTCGTTTGGTTTTTAAGGGGGTGCATTACTCGGGTTTGCGAGGACGTTGGCCTCAAGGTTCCATTGTCCACATCCTCTTCCAAAAATGAGCTCTCCAGATACATTGGTAAGGCCACGAATCTCACTTGGACCCGCCAAAGCGTACGGCTTTCCATTTCGGTGGATGCTGTAACAGTACAGGACTTCCATACCGAGCAGGTAGTTACTAATTAGCGTTTTAAGCAACATTATCTTGATAGTGTACAGTAATTGCCAGTGAATGAGAGGTTTCTTATTATAAAGGCCGAATAAAAGTGGTTAATATGTTTCCAAGCTAAACGAACCCAAGCTTTGAATTACACGTATCTTTATTCAGTGTTTTTCTCCTGTTCTGGAGCCTAGCATTGTTCTATCACATGTGAATAATTTATACTGTTTATCCTTTTTTGAGATTCTACTCAACAGACATCATCTAATGAAAAGCAGTTTGTCTTTTACGCCTCATTCATATCCTGCATGTAGTCTGATTGTGCTTCGTGTTCAACAAATCGGTTGTTTTGCTAAATCCCAAGAAAACTCAAACCTTAATATTAGACACTGCGAGTTTTTCTTATAGTGATATTCATTTAATCTACTTGGATGACGGCCGGGTGACTTGAAAGTCGTGATCGAAACTAACTGTTAGGGATTTAGATAATCTACTATTCCGGTATTGTTAGTCTAGTCAGTATTTTGGACTTTTCCACGGGCATTGCTTATTTGATTAGGGTTGGCGCTGGCCCGCCACGGTATGCGTATGTAACACCTCAAATCTATTCAACCATTGTTCGACCATTGTTGCGGGTTTCGTTTGTAGCTTGCTCGCGTGGTGTGTGTCTGTATAATCTCGGGAAATCGATGTCATGCGTGTAACCCGTTGCCATAAATCTCAGGTCAGCTAACATGGTAATATTTTAGGTGGGTACTTCAATCTCCCACTCAATAGAAAAAGCATAATTCATTAAAGGAACGTCACGGGTCCCGTTAACGTTGTAGTTTGCCGATAGATTCACCTTAGATCCAGCCCTCAAGGGATATCGCCCTCTTACTGTAGAATCCCATGTCTTTGCATCACAAACGTTCCGTTTGGGATAACCCACAGAGTCGTGCTTGAATTTTGGAAATATTTAAAAAACCTCCACTGTTGTGGCTTTTATCGAACGTGGAGGCATCCATAGGCCAAGTAGTGCTTCAATTTCACTTACTTCATTGCCGTCTCATGAGAAACTGCGTAAAAAAGCATATTATGTAGCCACATAATGCCTTGGCGACGTCTCCGAAGGACTTTCTTGCTCAATAAAAGCAATGCGTAGTTTCTTAACTTAAAACGTTTGTGGAGGGAGAACTGTACTGAAATAACGCCGGCCCACAACAAAATCTATAATTGGAGCTGAGTCGAGAAAAGATGATCTTTTTTTCGCTTGATAGAAACTTACTAATAGGTGATTTCAGTATTTCCAAGCTAAAACACACGAGTAAAATCCTATGGATTTTGAACTATGGACACCGTTTTAGGTGGGCCTTTCTCCTTTTCCGTATTATAACGCCATGGTACTCTTGTCTGCATTGACGAACAAACACTGGATATACAAAAACGTTAGGCGGGGGCGGTGCGTGTACGAACTTTTTCTAAGATTTACCAAGCTCTCTTATCCGTCAGTGCTAAGTCTCGTATTGGTTGCTTACACTTTCGGGCCTGCAGCTACTCTCAGGCCACATTCAATCCTTACTCGAACACTCAGATTGTGTTGGGCTGAGGCGCAGGACGCTAATTTATTTCAACCAATAAGGCTCTTGTCGTGTCAAGGCTTGCATACGCGCACCATAAACAATTTGTAGCTTGCTTAAGTGGCTAAAATTCTGTCGAGATAGAGGAGCCCTTTTTAAGTATGCCTGCCAGCGGATCGCACCTAATTCAGATCCCAGTTTAGGGGAACTATTCACCTGTGGGAGACTGCCTTGTTAACTGGCGACTGAAACTGCGCATCTGAACCGACTAGCTAGGAAGTCAGGTTATCGGTTTCTCTTCGCTTCTGGCCTTTAGGCTTCAACTTCACCGTGTAATTTTATCAAGTTTTGACCCTCACGCCTTCCTTCACGTACGGCAAGAGTAGGCGTGTATTTTAGTAGACTTTCCAAGTTATTTACGGCCTAACCACATTTCTTTTATCTTATTCGAATTCGCCAGTATGGTTTTTAGATTGTATTGATGATGATGATGATGTTTTTGTTTCATATAAACCGAACAGTACGAGTCTGTTTTCTACCGCTTTTAAGGTTCTTTTTCATCACCGCCTCGGCTCAATCTCATTTGCGTCGTCTGGAGAGGCAGACATGATGGATTTTGTCAGTTACATCGCTAAGAGCGATGTCGAGGGTTGCCGAAGAATGTGCTATGTCTTCTACTGTAGTGGTGGCTGTTCGCGCGAGTTCATCTCAAGCATTGGTGAAGCATTTAAACTTGGCTACAAGGTAGGGGACAGTTTCTACTGCCTTTACTGAGCACAACGTTAAACTTAATAATGTTGCGACCAAGAGCTACAAATTTTAATAAATGTCTCCACTTTTACATAAACGTTTGACCGGGAACATAGCTTAGCACAAACAAGAGGAGCGTTCATCCGTCGCATAAGCAGCCAATGTTTAGCTTATTCGAGGTGAGCTGATTGGCTGATCGTTATCCAGTTTAAATGGTCTCTCATTTTCATTGGCTAATGTGTTTTTAAAACATCAATGCTAAAGTGATTTCATCCCTATAAGTCACCTATCGTGCTTGCCTAGAATGATATTAGCCATTATTTGCGGTTATGCAGACACAAACATGGAACATTTTCATGGCGCTTAGTCTTCTACTTGGTCAAACTTGTCTGGAAGAAGACCTCATCAACCGTTTTTCCTCTATTCTCTTGGTAGGGCTTTAAGGAAAGTCAACAGGCCCAAGAGTTGCACGTTCAACCCCCGAGGCCGGTTATCGATGACTTTGAGCCGCCACTTACTTTCGCGCCGGTAAGCAGTGCTGGGGAGAATATGTGCATTTTTGGATTGCTTCAAATTAACTTCTCTCCTGGTTTAGGCTGCCCCCGAGTCTGCTGATCCATGGTTCACATCAGAAAACACGAAAACAGCTGCAAACAACCGTTTATTTGAAGACCAATTCGACGATGTTGCATGTAAGTGATGGTCCTATAGTAGCCTTTCTCAAACCACACCCCAAAGTTGCTTAAAAATGATCCCGTCGTTGGATTCCAAACAAAGCCCTGTTGGCTGTCAGTACCGAGACCTCTTAATTGATTTGAGGAGAGTCTTATGCCCAAATGAAACTGTTACGTTTGAACCGATTCTGTGGTCCGAAAATTCCCACGAGGAAATCTACTTCTGTTTTGAAGTAAATGCCGATGAACTTCTAGGCAACTAAAACAACGCTTTCCGGGAAAAGCAAAGAATCTTACCAGCAAGTCAAATGAAACATGTTTGTGGTGCAAAATGTAGTGCGCAGTGAATTTCGACATCCAATCTAGTTGTAGATTTGGTGGCTACCGAAGCCAGGATGATTTGAAGGTAGAGAAAATACTTGACAATATGTCGTGCCGGTCAGGAGTAAATTTGTGTGTGTGTGTGTGTGTTTTGTTTTGACTAGGCAGAAATTTCCAGAAGGTTTGTTAGATAGTGGCCTCTTTATATCAAATTTGCTCATTGCGACCCTATTAACACTCGTATTCAATTTCGGCTGTTTTTATTTTTCAAATTGACCACAAAAAACTACCAACTAAGCTGAGGTCTGGGTTCTCTTGCTGGCATCTTGCCACCCCTATTTCGAGTTCTAAGCGAAGGCGTTGTGCCTTCTCTTTTAAGTCTGTAAATTGCCTTTTCCAGTATAAATATTTTCCCTGGGGGTTCGTTTTGATGTGTTCAAAGAGCACTTAGTTGACAAAATAAACACCTTCCCAGCAAAACACACGGTCCTTTTCAAGGCCTTATGTGAGAGCCAGCTCCCAAGTCAGTTTTCTTGTGTACAGGGTGGCCCAGATGTGGTAGAATCCTGCGTATCAAAAATCACAAATAAACGGGGTAGCATTTTGTCGTACAACCTTACAGCAACAGTTTTTCAAGACCTAAATTTTTATCGTTCAATTTTACAAATAATTTGCTCCATTTTGTGATTTTGTGCTATTAGTGGTTCTTATTTTCATCAGTTATGTCCGTGGCGTTTGCGTCCAAGAATGAAACTGATTTAACAAGTGGTTGTATGAAGGTAACACCAAAGGACGAATGTATTATTTTAAGTGGTTGGTGAGTATGCAACCTGGATCGAAACACAACACAGTAGAGACAGTTTTAGATTTTGTGTTCTTTGAATGTTTGATTCGCATTATCCGCCCCAAACCCAGTTACAACATTTGCATTGAGTTTTACGGTGTTTAATTGCAGAATGATTAGAATGTGATTTCAAGAAAAATGGGACAGGAACAGCCGATGTATCCTAATGACGAAATCCTTCTTTCTGGAACTAGTCAAAAGCTTGTTTGTCAGATGCGTCTGAAAACTAGTATTTACTTGGTAAAGTCTGAATCGGATTTTAAGTAGAAGCGAACTTTTCTTAAGAACTGCTAGAATGGAACCTTACAGTGCACTGTCATTAGGGGGCTAATCACCATCGAGCCTCAAACACCACAACCACACACACATTGAGACACAAATGAATCAACCTGGTCATGTTGCTTTTTCGCCGTCTCTTCGTCTTGTTAATTGGACATTAAGGCATGGCATGGCTACAGTCTCACTTTTCATCAGATTTTCGAGTCGTGCTTCTTGGATTCTTTCCCTTGGGCCCCTCTGTGGACACTGTTGCTGACCCACGGTTTTCTCATCGATAACATCACACAGGTTTCTAAGAAATCTCAGTTTAAAATCAACACCACGAGCTGCAATCGTGATTTGTCGGCACGCCACCTTCTGCTAAAGTCTATTTGATTACCAGGAAAAGGACACCTCCAAAATGCGCTTTCGTTTCTAAGTAGCTCTGCGGACACACTTCTCTCCGCCCATTTAGTGCTCTCATCTTTTGTTACCCAACGCGCGTATCGCATCAGCAAAGTTGTCTTAGTCGCCTCTTTCAAAGTGCAAATCTGGTTATTTAGCACAAGAATTGGCATTCCATTGAAGGATGAGATCTAAGTGGCTTTGAGACCACCTTACTTGCAATCCAATGCATGTTTACGCAATTGGTATTGATTATTGGTGTGATAATAATGACCGACTATCTAATTATCATTTTTTGGTAAAAACGCGATCTAATGCTTCACTCACTCAAATCGACACTGGCCCTTTCATCCCCGGTCAGTTAAGACGGTATCAACTTGAGGTGTGTGTATGGTGGTGGACATGTATGCTGTAACGAAAGGCGTCAGTAGTGAAGGCGTACACAACCAGCATAGTCGATAAGGCGTGACAGATATTTGCGGTAAGTGAACAAATCAATATCAATATCGCAAAGGCGGAGAGTTCAAAGTGGCCAACCACCGACATGGGAACATAAGGGAAAGTAAACGATAGACGTCACTCTGATTCGGAGTCAGCAAGAGACAATAGGTTAAATGGCATGCCAGTCGTCACCTCACTTGGTCAGTTATTCGGTGTTTCCGTTCAGCCCGAACTACGGTCATCTGAGCTCCTCCCATTTACTACCCAGTTATTTAGACTCGTGCAAACTTGGTTGAAGGTTACGTCTGAAACTTTTGCCCATATATGAAATTTCTGTACAGTTTTGCATTTGGCCAATCGGATTTTTAGGAAATTTTGCGACTTGGGCAGTGACGCAAACACTCCTCGCTATTTCAACTTGCAGTCGTCGAAACTTACGAGGGCAGGGTTAGCTTGTGCGTTAGCTATAAAAATTGCGCTAATGGTGAATAGATACTTAAAACCCATGCTTACAGCGCTGTTGGGAGTTTAAGAAGCCAACTAACATTGATTTCGTTTAATTAAAGCAACTTTCCTACGTACAGTTTTTGTACTCCCCAACTGATACTTGAACTACTTAGGATGGGTGTGTTCCCAGCTGCTCAAGCACTCATTGGGTAACGTTAGTTTTCGCATTGATCATTTTTTTGATAAATTTATGGGCTAATGCTAGGTGATGAAGGCCTTCCGGGCGCTGCCTTTTGTATCGAAAGTGCACAAGTGGTAACATTCCCTTCTTAAAAGCCCCAATTTGTGGTCTCAAATCACACCGGAGCCGCCACGTTCTATTGACCAGGTTATGCTATACAGATACGGCGGACAAAACTATCTTCCAACCTCATGTATCGGGTATAGAACGTCGTGTCTGGCCGATGGCGGTGGGTGGTCGATACGGTTTGGGTGAATGAGTGCAAGTACAAATGACTGATGGCTAGGCGAGCAGACACGTATCAGGCGGAGGGTACATGCGTAGGAGGGTGTATGAGCGGACGGTTCCACTTGCGTCTGTGGGGGCGCTGTGAAAAGTGGGGGTGAAGTCTAAGTATGCGGCGACCGGGTTAACGGACTTGAATCAACACGATTTACGGCACTGTGTTCAATGATTGGTGGAGTTTGATGGAAGTGGCGCGAGTCGTGAGGCTTGTTAGAGAACGTGGTGGTAACTTTTAATATTCCTTACCATCCTTCACACATTTTCCGATGAAACTGGGACTATGTACTACAACTTGGGGAAATGCGATTTCGCCTTAGTGCAGACGTTCATCTTTCATGATTTCTACTGATATATCAGACTTTTCGAATCTGTGATTTGCCTTGGAGCATGCAATTCCGTCCGTAACCACTACGAGCCCTTTTGAAATCCATTTACCTGTTATGTTGTGTTGATATTTACCACGGGTACGATATGCATTAGTTGTGCCACGAACGATCATTTCAAAGCTGTGGGTGTTCACTGTTAGTGCACCGTTTCAGGAGCTGCACAATTTTTCACCAAACAATTACCCAATTGTTGCGCATGAGGGCAGCAAACGGTTTTGCTATAATTGGGATTTTAGTTATTTCCGTGGGATGCCACTGATTGTTTTGATTATATGCGTTATAGGGCTTTTGCAAGATGAGCCAGCACAGGCGCCGCCCCATGGCCAATGCAATGCTTTCCCAGCCAACCATCATACACAGGATCCCTTCACTCCAGTAACTGATAATGGCAAGACAAAATCGAAGCCAACGGAAGCCTCCCTCGAGCCGGTTGGGGAGCCCTGGTACGTGGGGCGTGTGACAAGACAGAAGGCAGAGTCCCTGCTACAGTACGATGGAGACTTTCTGGTTCGTGCTAGCACCCAGCAACCGAACCAGTTCGTGCTAAGTGGGATGCAGAACGGCAAGAAACGGCACCTCCTTCTAATCAATCCTGAGGGTCAGGTACGGATAACTAGCGCTCTCCTTTTTCCAGGTTTTCTTCTAAGCTAATTTCTTAATTTTTTAAATCTAAGAGTAAGGCTTTAATGTTCTCACATAATTCAAACACAATTTTTAGCGACTATTAATGTGTGGGCCCTCCAAATTTCACATTACGATGATGGTACGGATAGGTACTCTGAAGTAGTTCCGTAAATTATGATTCAATCTATAATATTTTACAAACAGTTCATCGGTATTTAAACTACTGGGATCCGATTAATTTTAGCACAAGTCATGATCTAAAGAATTCCCCTCTACATTGTGTTTTGCGAAGCAGAGCAAAGAAAAAGCGGTCCATGTGAGTTCCAGTCGATTCAACCTAGTAGGAATTCAGTGTGGTCAAAATCACTGAAGATCAGTAACATCCTGCGTCGGGTGGAAACACTCGCTATTCATGGGTTTAATTGCCCTTTCTAAACTAATATGTCCTTTTGTGGTTGTTTTGCAGCCACATTAACTGCTGTACAGCACGCCTTATCAAGGAAGAGTGGTGTGCTCTGGCACGTAACTAGAGAAGAATCAAAATCCAATGATATTTAATTAAACCCAGTGGACGTGCTGACGTGCTTACACATGATGAGTTAAGTGCTACAACGTGTGTCATGCTACTAGCCTAGGTCAAGGCACGTGGGTAACTCCATGCTACAATCAGTTTGACACGTGAACGGACGCACTGGGCAGGCTGGCGCAAGTTGGTTGGTTAGTTGTATGTAGTCGATTCCTTGGAACTTGGCAGTACATCGGAGTCGAATGTGGCAGAAGTCGAGGTTTCGGCGACACGTCACTGTCACGTGGCCTGCTTCAAAGGTGCCAAATTGGAGTTCTCAAGTGCGAATGTCACGTCAATGTTAAAATCATAATGGTAATTCACACGGTCATAATCGCAATGCTTGGAAAATTGCAAACAGCTAAGTCCAACACGGTGCAAGTCATTCGGTGTATTGGTGTTCTCCATGACACGCAACGCCCTCTTGATTGATATTCGTAAAACCTGTAGTTTCCGCAAAATTCAGTGACCTTTTGTGCACTGCAAAAGCTATCTATGAGGTTTACAAGCCATGAAGCCAGTTCACTCTAAAAAACGGATATCCAGAGCAGAATCATTCGCTATAGTTGTCGATGAATGTCTGCTGTGTGGTATCATGACCGATTTTGCCTCGTTAAGGTGCGAACCAAGGACAGGATATTTAGCAGCATTCAGGAGCTGATCGACTTCCACCTGCGAAGCACGACGCCAATTCGATCGGCGGACAGCGAGTTGAAGTTAGTCTTCCCCGTCACGCCGAACGCCCTAGACCAGTGATCACCGTGGAATTTTCAGTAGCCCTCATAGTGATTCTTCTTTGACACGCTTGCATCACGAATGACGGCCAGCAGATTACAGGTAATTGCGCAGAAAACGGTGACGACCTGATCCGATTCCACCACCAACCCACATTTTATGACGCTTTTGCATCTTAATTTTGCCTATTTTTACCTATCACGTGACAGCCGCAATGCGGTGCCCCCATTTATACCTCATCACTAACAGAAAACATGGCAGTTTCGCTTGTTAGTTTGTTTGTTCTCGATGTGGAAGGTAAAGGGAGCGAAGTTTGAATTTAAGCACTTAGGGGTGCACACACGTGGGAGGTCGTCTGCCATTGTCAGAACTCTTGGTCCTGACGAACGCGGTTTTGATTGTGGAAAGTGATCCTTCTAAGTGCAAGTTTCTTTTTGTCTGGATAGACTGAATGTTGACAGGACCCGCCTGAGTCGTGCGAATCACAAATTGCTTTCTAAGCGCATTGGGCATACGACGGTGTGGTGCAGAAGCAACAGACGCACAGAACGCCTGCGCACACTAACCCCTGATGTTCTCACCTGATAACTCTAGCAAATCGGAACCCCATTGGTGCACATTGTATAATCGAGAAGCGGATTAGCTCCCACAATGCATCACTTGGTGGTGGACTTCGGTTGACTATCGATGCGCCCTTAAACTGTCCACCATCGTGCCATTTCACCAACCCAATTGCCATTCATTTAATCTTCCGCAACCAGCACCTCTAGCTGAAGTTACACTATTAAGTCTCGGTGTGTTCAACTATTACCAGCCTAATTGTCAACTCGGCCCTCCACAAGACATGAGTCCACACCTGAAACGTATCTACCATATTTAGCTTCCAGGATCATCGACGCCTTAAAAGTTGCTGATCTCACTCAAATCTACGCCTCCATGCGCTTCATGACGCATGTTGTCAGGACACATGCAAAAAATAAAACTAACGATTGGCTGAATAATATATTTTCATAAAAAAATACTTCGTATCTGAAATGTTCGCAATGTACAACGCGTTCACCTACCGCCGGGGATTTCGGTGATTTTTTACCTTCTTTCCTCCAGACTTATCCTCAATAACGTTCTCCGTGGCGGTTTTTCTCTTCAAAAGTTTGGATCTTAAAACAAGAGCATTGGAAGGGAAAAACCTCGCCTCAAGCTGCACATCACCACACACAAAGTTCACTTGATGGATTATCTTACCTGTTAGATTGACCGTGTAGGTGAATAGAGAAGACAATCTGATTGAATAGGAAAAAAAACAATGGTGGTTAGCTCGGGAAGAGACAGTTTAAAAGTGGCTGACAAACTGGTTCGTGCGGCATGAGTGCGCAAAAACCACCCACACGCGAGCCAAACGGGGCCAAATCACCGCAAGTCGAGTCCAAGCCTGGATAGTGCTCTTCTGAATTCTGATATGCCCGGAGCAATTCGGGTATTCAAGTACGTGGCCGCCCCGGTTCAAACCCACTGTAACAAAACCCTGACAAAGAAAATCTAGTGCAAAACGATCTATCATTTTGCTGACTCGTCGAATTTCCTGCTTGGTGGCTTTATGTTTGTATCATGTGTGTGGCAACCAAGCAGCCACAGCAAATAGGCAGCGATTAGGACTAGACGCCTAAGCGTCGAAAAGCAGTAGACAAGTTTTGTCTCACTAATCGGCCACGATGTTCTGTTTCTCAAAAGGGACGTGATTTTGTTCGCCACCAACACCTAATTGACACAAACAGTGACCTCTCAATTTTTATTTCCGCTTTACTTGCAGCAAGCATTCTTGAGCGCTACAGAACGCAACTGTCAGCCCATCGATACTTGGCGCCCAAGATCAGTAAACAACAACTGAGGGGCTGTTAGTCAACATTAACTGAGGGCATGATGGGAGTCGATACGGAAAAGTCACGTTTTTGCTATTAATGCATTGTGCATGCATTTATCGTCATTACCGTTTGGAGTACCGATACAGTAGTAATCTTCACCTTTCCGACAGTGCAGAGAGTGTGAAAACAGCCCAACCACGACTTCGTCGTAGTGTACGGTAAACAAAGTCACAGTTGTCTGTCGTAATGTCGCGCAGTTGGTACAGTCATGGTTAATGGTCCGGTGTGGATTGGCTAGCGCCGGGGCAAGTCGATTTGCTCAAAATCTGAGGCACTTTTGAAAACGGGGACTTCAAAGCACTCCAACTTACCACTTGTGCCCACCCTGCGTAAGGGCCCCAGAGTGTGGAGAGGTGTTTGGAGATGAGACGGTAGGAGGCACTTGAGAGAGAGGTTGGCACTTTGATACGCCGAAGTGCGGCCGCGCGGGCGATGTGCACGTCCACAGGAACCACCTCAACTTTGTCCAAACACGACAGGCAAATGCAATCGGCGACCTGGGAGGTACAAAACAGTTCACAGGCGAATGTCTAACATGCAAGCGCATTTGGCGCAGTGGTGCATTGCCCACTTCATAGTAATCGGACGAACAAACTGTCCCATGGTATGAAATTAATCAGGTCCATAAATAAAGCGTTGAAAAGGTGCCCGACTAAGGAACTAAAAGAAGCCGGGCTCGGTGCCCTGTTTTTTGGAATGGAAGCCTGTGCAAAATGTCACAATTTTGGGCTATACACATAGAGTAAAGAAGATGAGTGAAAGTGACACAAGTTAAAAGGCGTACGAAAGTACCTTGTTTCCAACACCGGGAAGCTTGAGAAGAAAAGCCTTGCATTCATCATAACTAGCCTTTCGAAGATTTATCAGGGCAGAATCACCGCCCGCTTCCAGCAGTTTTTGAGCGACAGCACTGCGAATGAGCAAAAGTAAGTCTGGTGAATGGCCAACTTAACTTCATGATTGTCTGACCATTGTGTAATGATTGAAAACAGTAATGAATGCGAACAAACGTGTTTGGTGCTTTAGAGGTGGGGACGGGAAGCGGCAGGTCTGCCAAGCACCGCGCCACTTATCATGAGCATCTAGTGACTTTCAACCCAAAATGAAACGAAAACTAGGTAAACCACATTGGATATATGGTGGCAGTGGAAGTGGAAAAGCCTACGGGATGAACTTCGCGCGATAGCCGAATCCAATCGTGCGGAGTTGCTTCTCGAAATCAGGACGTGCAAGTGTCTCCAGTGTCGGGAAGCAGTAGGCTGATTTGGTCTCCGCAAACTGCATCTTCTTGCCGTACTGTTCACTTAGTGCAACAAGAAGTTTACTTATGCGCGAAACGTTGTTATTTGCTGAGGTAATGAATGCGAAAACTGTTTCTCGGGGGTCCTGATTCAGTAAGCGAAGTCCTTTGAAGCGAGAAATGTGTTCAATGGATGCGTCTGAGAAGAACTCACGCATCAGGTGATCCCGTTGTAACCAGGTTGAAAAGAGGCCGTCGAGTTGAACATCTAGACGGAAGTATGAGACAAGAGGTGCTGGCAATTCCCCCCTTTCTCGCATGAGTTCAAGTTCGGTGGCAGTCGCACAACTGTAATGAAAGGCAACCGGTG